TCCACTTTTGAAAGGTTTCCAGCCACTGCTGATCATCCCATAGCTGCATAAGTGTGGTCCCCACCAGTCTCTGCTTGTCTCTCAGCACCAGAACTGGCATTCCATTGTGTCCAGAGGATTAAATGTTAGCAGCATTTGCCAGTCACTTATTTTAAGAGCATCTCAGAGAGTATGTGTCTGGCTTCCCAAGATTCTTCTTTGTTCTGGCGGGCCCTGGATATGTTCTGGATATATTCCAGCATAAGGCACACCATGGTTGATATGGTTGCCATATCACTTTGCTGCTAAACGGGTTCCATGCTTACCCTGCTATAGTATCTGCACGTATAACCAGGGAAATAAAGGGCAGGTAGGAGGAGGGGGGAACGAGGGCATTATGGAACTCTGACAACATGTAACCAGAATCACCTGCTGCAGTTTTGGTCACAGCATGCACTAGGAATATAACCCAGAATGCACAAGAGTGGCATGAACTGTGGGATAGCCACCCACAGTGCATCGGTCTCAAAGTTGATGGTGGCCACTCTACTGGGAACATGCTTCATCACACTGCTTTGAATTCTTATGCATATTGTGGGCATGCACCTTCGACTTTACAAAAATAAGGTGCTAGAAAGTTGACTGTAATAAATTCAAACTTATTTCTCAGTATAGGTTGAATATACTGAGCAATTTCTGGTATAGTGTTTCAGGCATGGATTGGAGCTAGGTCTGGTACACGAAGCAGGGCTGGTACAGCTACTGGCATGGGAACACAGCAGGCAGCCACTGTGGTGCAGCTGCTACAAGGCTTAAATGGTGATCTGTTGGCTCTTCTGGGAGCACAGTCACTTGGGCCATGTCTTCACTCGGAGGAAGATTGACACTGCCATGATCGATCTTCTGGAGTTCAATGTGGTGGAGGTAGTAAAGACTTGCTGAATTGAATTCAGAGGGCACCCCATCATGACTGGTACTCCTCTTCTTGCAAGGAGTAAGGGAAGCCAACAGGAATGTTTGCTCCCATCAGCCTCCTGCTTTGGGGATGGTGGGGAAACTCAAATTAAGGTACTTCTACTCTAGCTACATAATTGATGTAGCTGGAGTTGCGTCTTTTAATTTGACCTTCCCCTTTAGTGTAGTCCTGGCCTTAGTAAGGGGCATAGAGTAGGGTTGTGAATGACTAGTTGACTGTCTGATAAGCAAATCACTAGCTGACCCCAGGCTGCATGCGGCACTGCTGCTTTGAAACACCACAGAGAGCACAGGGCCAGTGGGAGACTGCTTGAGTCCCCCGCTGGCCCCGTGCTTCTCACAGCACTTTCATCTTTGAAGTGTAGCAACAGCCCTGGGGCAAATTGCAGTGACTGTTCGATTAGCCAGTTAATCTAAATTTAACATCCGTAGTACAGGGCTCAAGGAGCTCATTGAGTGGCTAGGCTCCTGTCCCCAGAGCTGCCTGAGTTCCTGACCCTGGAGAGATGTGCATAGGACAAAGCCCTGAAATCAGGAAAGTCTTTGTATGAGCAAAGAGAATCTGATTTGGCCCTTGGTTGTGGCTGAGCATCTCTTAAAAGTTCTTCTCAAGTGTCTCTGATAGGTGTTTTGTGTGTGCTTCATGCTTTAAGCTACCGTGTAATTTATGGGGGACTCTTCCTGTTTTTTCATTGTGTTCGTATTGCGTTCATTTCCACCACAGCTAACTATGCATGTGGGTCAGTTCTATTTAAGTCACAGTTTCTTGAGGACCTGATTCTTGAGGACTTTGGTTTGCTGTTGTTTTTCTTCCCTTGAATCTTCTGTATTAACACGGCCATTTGTTCCCTGTGTTTAGACCAGAGCCTGACTGCTTCATACCTGCAGCTCCTTCTGTGTTGCCACTTTCCTCTGTAGTGGGGGAACTGCTGGGATTGCATTTTTTCTTGCTTAAGAAGGGTGTCTGGAATTGATTTGGTAGGGGTTTTGGGCCCCCATCCGAACCCTTGGATTAAATTCTCCGTCAAGGGGCATGGCTTGTATGGGGCAGGGCTCTGTGATACATTTACACACAACAGCTTGTAAGCGTTTGATTGTAGTAATTTATGCCTTTTATTTTTCTCCCCAGCAAACAACGTCATAACAAGCTGTGGAAGCAACAAGCAGAGAGCAACCTACCCCAGAATGCAGATGATTCTATGGGGCCCAGCGACTTCCTACTCGATAGTTTAGACATTGATCTAGAAAACCGCCTATCTGATTTGGATGCGTCTTCACAGTCCACATACTTGGACAACAGAGACAATACAGAGGCGGGGGGGTTTCACTACTGCTTCCAGCGCCTGCTGGAGAACAAGCTGCCCAGTGACAGGGAAATATTTTTCCAGGAAGAGGATCTGGAACAAGATGTACTATTAGAGCAAGCCAATTTGCTGGTGGGTCCAGCTCCTTCAGGTCCTTCTGAGGCTACAGCGGAGACAGTGAAGGCCAAGGAGAAAGTGGAACCATTGGCAGAGCTGAGCAGTTGCTGTGAGAAGGGAGTGAAGACATTGGAGCCCAGCATGCCAAAGGGGAGGAACATGCCCAGCCATGCGGATCAAGGGAAGGAGAGCATCAGGGAGGAAAATACTATGGAGAGATGGAAGCGACGCTTGTCTGTGCACAAGGAGGAGAACGTATTGAACAGAGAGAACCTGAATAACAACAACAGCAAGAGGAGCTGCCCAGAGGAGTTCGAGGTGCATATGGGCGTTAAGGTTATTAAATTAAATTAAATCAACTAATCAGCTAGTTGATGGATTTTCCATCGACCAGCTGATTAATCAATAAGTGGGGAGCTGCAGTGGGGTTAGCTCCTGGCCTGGCAGCTAACCTGCTGTGGCTCTGCCTTTTAAATGGATTAAGTATCTGCCCTAAAAGCGCAATTTAATTTGATTTGGAAATGCAGGCTCCGGTAGTAATGCCTTTTCCTTGTAGAAGTGCTTCTGAACTTCATTTTTCTTGCACAAGTTGTGGAGCCAGCCACAGCACGCAGCTACATGAATGTGCTATAAACCTCTTAGGGCAACCAGTTTTCATGGCTATTACTTGAAATAGTGGGTTTCCTACTTCAGCAGTAATGGAGAGGGGCTTTCTTTAAGGCTGTTTGGAGTCCTTATGAATAGATTGTCTCTTTATTGTTTTGTGTCTTACCTATCAATCTGCAGATGTCTTGATTAAACTAAGTTGACTCTGTTTCTACAGCTACTTTGTTTGTCCAACTTTTTATGGCATTTTCTTTCCTTTTATAGCGTGATGCCATATTTGGGATCCTCAGTAATGGAGAGGGGCTTTCTTTAAGGCTGTTTGGAGTCCTTATGAATAGATTGTCTCTTTATTGTTTTGTGTCTTACCTATCAATCTGCAGATGTCTTGATTAAACTAAGTTGACTCTGTTTCTACAGCTACTTTGTTTGTCCAACTTTTTATGGCATTTTCTTTCCTTTTATAGCGTGATGCCATATTTGGGATCCTCAGTAAAGTCAAGCCTTCCTACCATTCATGCACTGACTGCATGTATTCCTCAGCCAGTGCCTCTACTGAAGTCTCAGAGGAGCAGCATGAGACACTGAATCCAGCCACCACATGCTGCACTTCTACAATCTGCACTCAGCCTTCTCTCTTCTCCCAAGTGGCTTCTAACTTGTCAAACCAAATGGCCAGCAAATCACTGCCTGGGGAAGTAATAAGGGCTAAAAATGATTGTTTGTCTCCACTGCTGCAGGGAGCTAGTGCTTCAGGTGGCATCTGCAAATCTGTGGTGGATCAGAATTGCAGTATTTCTGGAAAGTCAAAAGATGCACCAAAATCACCTGTCAGAGCATTGCTTGCTAAGAGAAAGTCTCACTGTGAGAAGAGCCCTCTGAATCCAGAAGTGATGAAGGAAGAGTCTCCACCCAGAAAAGATGTCAGACCAACAAAGGACGTTAGGTACTTGCTGTTTAGTAAAGATTTGGAAAAGCCAACCTCAAGCAGTTATTTGATGCAGCATCAAGAATCTCTTATTCAGCTTCAAAAAGCTGGCTTAGTTAGGAAGCATACGAAAGAACTGGAGCGTCTGAAAAGTGTACCGTTGGAATCCTTTTCACAGGTAAGAGAGAGCTCTGTGAGCAGGATTGATGTTAGCATACCAGAGGAAAACCAAGATTTGACTTCGCACCAAGGCCCAGTGTCTTTTCTGGGTCCAGCACCTTTAATATCTGAAGACACAGAGAATGATGTAGAGAAGTTAGAGGCCAAAAACCCCTTACAGGGATTGTCTCAGAAAACCTCCACACCTGTGGTGTGCAGGCTGGAGCACATGAGCAGTTACACTAAGGACTTTCTGAAGACCATATGCTATACGCCGTCATCTTCCAGGAGCTCCAACTTGACGCGCAGTTCTAGTAGTGATAGCATACACAGTGTGCATGGGAAACCTGGCCTGGTGAAACAGCGAGCTCAGGAAATTGAAACCAGACTACGGCTTGCTGGTTTGACTGTTTCTTCCCCTCTGAAGAGATCCAATTCTCTTGCCAAGCTAGGGTGTCTTAACTTGTCTTCTGATGACTTGTCAAGTGACATGGACATGTCAACACTAATGAACTCAAAAGAGGCCAAATCAAGCGAGTCTTCCATGCTTTGCGAATCACAGTCCTCTCTGAGGAGTGTGGATGTAAGCTCCAAATTGCTAGCCGATTCGGCCACAGGAAACTTGGAGAGCACATTTTGGAAGGGCAAAAGTTGACATGGTCTGGGTTTGTGTGTGTATGGTTATTTTAATCAGCATTAACCCAGTGCAATTTTATCATCTGAAACAAAATAGTTCATCTGATACAACCTCTTTACCCCGTTTTTTATGTGGTAACTGAGGAGAAAGAGGGACATAACTCAGAAAAGTGAATGGCACAAGGAGTAAAACATATTGCATGGCTTGGAAGAGGATGCAGTGTGTGAACTGCCTGCTATTTCTATAGGACAATATTCCCAGTACTGTTTGCCAAGTATAGTAATGTTAAAATATATATAATGTAAAAAAATGCTGACAATACTGTTTCCAAGTCTCAACAAAAGACACAGCATTTTTTTTTTAATTTTGCAAAAGAAACCTAGCACGCGTCTCTAGTTTAAACAGCAACTTGTGGAAAATCCTGTAGACTGCCTGCTATTTCTATAGGACAATATTCCCAGTACTGTTTGCCAAGTATAGTAATGTTAAAATATATATAATGTAAAAAAATGCTGACAATACTGTTTCCAAGTCTCAACAAAAGACACAGCATTTTTTTTTTAATTTTGCAAAAGAAACCTAGCACGCGTCTCTAGTTTAAACAGCAACTTGTGGAAAATCCTGTAGATGACTCTACCTCCATTCCTGATGATTTGTGTCAGTTTTTTTAAAGCTTATTTCATAATATTTAAAGGCTTTTGAAAAGCATTCCTACAACAGCAATGATAAAGACCACAAAAAGTGTTGAGGTGTAGGTTTTACTGCACCAACTAACCTTAACTAGGAAGTCAAATGGAAGAGTGTAGAGCTCTGTTTTTCTTGACAATGTGTCTGTTGACCAGACAGTTCCTCTTTACTCTCTAATCAGGGTTAACTCATGTTAATAACAGAATGACATCTAGGCTGTATGTTTTGAAGGTTTCTGTTAAAGCAGAGAAATGTCTTGTTCTTCGGGAATTGTTGCTCTTGTTGTGGTTTTATAGCTGTCCTGGTAATAATGACACGCCTGGCCAATAGGAGACCATGAAGCCATTGTGAAATGATGTGTGTGATGCTGGAGTCAGTGGTGTTCTGCTTTGGAGGCCCTGCTTTATTAGACTGTTGATGGCATGTTTTGTAGATGAGATGACTGATCTGTCTCCTGCTGCAGAGGCAGAGGGCTGGCTCTATTGCTGCACATTTGAAATGTGAAGAGAGAAGTTAATTTATTTTTGGTAGAATGTTGCTTGTATCCTGGAGTTTGCAGCAAAAATGCAAAGCAGCAGTAGGTTCTCTCAGGAAGATTTGTGGTTGTCACTGATCTCAGAAGCAGTTTACAAATCCCCATGCTGAGTAACATTCAAACGGGTTTCCTGCTGGTTTGTTTATAATGTATAGTGTATGGAATGTACAGGTTAATTTCAGTGATGGTCTCCACCAGATGACAATAGTTTATATTCTGTTCCTGGATGGACATGTGGTGATCTCCTGGGCTACACTGGTCTTACACACCAATCCAGAGGCAAGTGGAAGGAGGAGGCAGTAGTTTTACTAGCCTAGCCTAAATCAAATATTGCAATATCTCAGAAGGGAAGGAAAAGTGGAGACCTAGATTAGTTTCCATAGTGTTAAATAACCATTAATTCTTCTACATGGTACCGCTTGCTAGACTTTTGATCTGGTCAGGGCTGGATTAACTGTTAGGCTAATAAGGCTCTAGGACTTCCCATGGTTTAGGCCCTCCTGTTCAGACAAGAGACAGGGCAGAGCCAAGCGAGGGAGGAGTGAGCTTGCTCATGTAACGCTGCTGGAGCCTGGAACACTCCTGCCAACAAGAAAGAATAGCAGTCTCCTGTGGCTTAGAAGGAGCTTCCTCTTGCTCCCTGACAGTTATGGAAGAGGAACAGCAAGTAATAGGCAGCATTGGTAGGAATCAGAGAGGCATCAGCCTCTTTCCCCTGCCTGCTGCTTAGCACAGCAGCTTGCAGGAGAGCTGCAGGAGCCCATGTGGGAGTCCGTTAACCTCCTCCTGCAGCAGTGTGACCTAGCTGGCTCTTACTGCATCGGCGCACTGGGGTGCACTGCCTTATTCTCACCTCTGGTTTATTTAGCTTTCAGTTCTTGGAATGAAACCAGAAGTGAATCTTTTTTTCTGACCCAACTCAAACTAACTTCTTTCCCAAGTGGGAAATGTTGGGTAAGCATGGAATGATTGGAGAATGAAATGAGACCAAAGGGGACAGTTACACTTTTGTAGCCTTATTGGCTTCAGGACAGGGCCTTGGAGAACATATTTTTGCACAAGAACAGATTTGGGCCCCCTTCTGCTTTTTCACACCTGGATAAGCAGAATCTCATTCACTTTCCTCCCTGGTGAGCACCTTAAGGGGGGAGGGAGCTGAAGGACTGTCTGCCTTCTGCTTGACCCTTCATTCTGCAGCAGTCTAGTTAAAAAAACAATCATCCAAACCTTATGGTTCTTTTGTGATACTGATTTTCAGTGAAGTCTTTTTGTTAAGGGACGCAGAGAACACAACAGGAGATAGCTCTGTTTTGTCTAACTTATTCAAAAGCTGAAAGTTTAAGGGACTGGACTAGATGATTGCTAGTGGGCCCTTCCCGTCTTACAATTCTAATTGTGAAGAGCAAATGAAAACAGAGGAAATGCATTTAGGCTGCTGGCTACAGCCGGAACACTTTAGTGCAATGGCTCCCAACCTTTTCCAGCATACACACCCCTTTTCAATCGATTAAAATTTTACATTTCCCCTCCCTCCAAACAATATAGCTCTGCTGCAGCCTGCGTGTCCTTCAGCCCATGCTGCTTCCTGAACTGCATATCAAAGCCTTCTTGGGGAACAGCACAGGCTGGGGGACTTGCTGACTGTGGCTTTCCGCAGACCCCCTACAGTGCTGCTGTGGACCACCAGGGGTTCATGGACCACAGGTTGGGAACCACTGCGATAGAAGTCCCCCTGGCTCTCTAGCATCACATTAACCAAAAGTCCCCTGGCAGTAGCCAAAATCCCCACAGGGCCTAGGGTCTTTTCAAAGGTCTGTGTCAGAAGTACCCAGAAGATCTCCTAGTTATATTTTACTGAAGAATTTCTTCAATTTGCTGGATTCACATCACTCTCAGATATAGAGAGAAAAGATGATGAAAGTATCTCTGTTTGGATGTACTGAACTATCACTGAATCCAATGCAACAGAATGTTTCCCAAATGTTAAAATGGCATTACAGCTGCATTTGTCACTAATAATCACTAGCTATAGTGGAGAACATTCCTTTTCCCTTCTAACAAGGGTCAAAAATGTCCCCCAATCCACCACAACTCAAGAGCATCTCAGTGCTTTGTCCCTTTTGAGCATTAAGAATGAAATTGGCAGGTCTTTGAACTGGGATGATAGCATTCATTACTTTGCCACAGCTAAAGTGGGGGAAAAAATGTTTGTGTAGTGGGAGTAGAATAAATGTGTTAATTTTACATAAATATGTACATAGATAAATGTTTGATGTCATAGTTTTTTTGCAATATGTAATTCATATTTAGGCCCTTCCTGCCCACTAGCCTGAAGCCCTTCATAACTTTAATCCAGCGCTGGATATGCTAAGGCATTTCAGGCTCAGTCTAATACCTTTTGAAGTCACTGGCTTCAGCTGTGTATGACCGCTTGGAGCTCAGAGCCATTGGGCATGTAGACTTCCCCTTTCTCATCAGCTGCTTGGTCCTGGTTTCTGTCACAGGGTTTTGGCCAGCTCAGAAATACTCAGTTTCTGCCATACTCTCTCACTCAAGCAAGTGGGAGCCTGTTGAGTGTTTGGAGCAGACCTCAGGATTCAGCTCTTGACGATAAAACAGAATTCAGGTAGAAAGGGGGATAATCACGAGTGACTGAGGTAATAAGGAAACTGCTTGAGCCATGTCCAGAGATAGACAGGATCAAATGGGCAGTGACCCAGCACTCACAGCATCATGGGAACCAGCCCCATATCCATTTGTGGGTCGTTGTCTTCACACCCAATGACCATTTCTCACAGAACAATTTGAAATAAATATTCTAGTACCATTTCCCTCCCTCCTGCAGGTGCAGCATGCTTACAAGGGCAGCCATTCACCTGTGGTGTGTGTAACATATTGTGGGAGAGTGCATTTACCTGCCTGCTATGCAAAACCTGAGGTATATCTTTGCCAAATTAAGGATATAATTTTCAGAAGTGCCTCAGTCGCTGAGGAGTCTGAATCCTATTGCATAACAAGGTTTATAGGGGCTTTAGGTTTATAGGTCCCACAGAAGAGAGGTTTTTTTCCGACTTTTGGCCCTGAATAGATTGAACCAAATGGTGGAAAAGCCTCTTCTGGAAAAAAAATGGAAGAAGGTATGCAAGTGCAAGCGCTATTTGCATACCACTTCCGAAAAAACCCAACAGTGTACCGTACCCTGAGACCACCCTTTTGTGTGTTTTAAAAATCAGTTCTGACTAGGTCACTTCAATACACTATGAATTCACTGACACATGCCCCCATCCCCAGTTGTGACATTTCAATTTCACTATACCTGGGGTATGGCAGAATATGTAAAATATGAATGTTGTTGTTATATGCCTAAATGTCAAAGCATCATGGGTGCGATTTCAGCCTCTATCGATTGTTGTGTACTCCATATATTTTATTACTTGTCTTTTGGTTGTTCATTCTTAGGTTTTATTTGTTATGGATTAGGGAGGAAAGGATGGTAGCAAGCTTGAGTAAAGCCATTGCTCTGTATGCTTGATTATCATGTGGCAGCATAAAGTTTCTTTGAGCTTACTAGCCCATGCTGAAATTATCAGCTAAGATATTTTTGAAGGTGGTTAATCTATCCACCAGTTCCCTCCAGATCATAAAATTGTGCTAAAGGCTTTGAGCATAGAACAACAACTAGTATAAAGGTCAAGTGATAATTAGCCAGTTGCACAGTTGCTCATATTCTCTCACTCTGCAAATCCATATACTTGTTCACACTGACTCTTCTTTCACAGGGAAGGCCCTTTCCCATCCGACACAGTTGGATAAAGACTACATTTACTTACACCCAGGCTATTCCATTGGAGCTGCAAGACAGAATTTGACTTTGTTTTATTTATTTAATGTCTTTCATGGGGATTTTTTCTCACCTTTTTTATCCAGACAACCCTAGAGGATCCCTAATAATGTCAACGTAGAATAAGCAGATAGTTAACTTTGTACAACTAGGACTACCTAATGTTATTGAGCAAGATCTTGTGCTTCTCCAATGGAGAGACGGTTATCTAGGTCCAAATTTTGCATGCAAAAGAAGTGTGTGTGGTGATATTTGTAATTATCCCAACTGCAGGTGCTGGTCATGCATTTGTGTGTGCAACATGATGGACTTGGTTAGATGAGGATTGTTTAAAGTGTGGATCTCTGGTCTAGCTGTGCTCCC